CCCATTTCCGGCAGACATGAGTGGATTGCAGTGTCAATGATGGCCAGCTGTGGTTGCTCTCTTGGTTAGTCCATTCTTTGATCCTACACACTTACATCTGTGCAAATAAATGTTTTTCCAGCAAGGATACTGAGGTTCACATGGAAAAGTGTACTTCTTAAGCTCACACAATAACTAGAGAAGCTGGAACTCTATCCATGCACTAGCTAATTAGAAAACCGGTGATGGAATTTTCCTCATGCCCTACAAGCTACAGTAATAGTGGAAAGTTAAGAAATCTGGATTCTTAAACAAATGGGCAGTGGACTGGACTGATAATCAGAAATCAGAATTCTACTTAGAGTCACAACTTGGAGGAGTTTATTGAGCACTTAGCCTCAGTGTTCACATTAGTAACCAAATTTTATTTCAAATTCTTAATTTGTCCCTTAATTGTTCTTAATTTTAAGTACTGTACCTTTGGCTGTGAATTTCTAAATAGTAGGAACTTTTTCTAAATATTTGATTTGTGTAGTGCTTATAACCTAAACAGACCTTGAAAATGTTCTTGATAATGTTGACAATTTGTCAAATTTTAAATGTATTTTCATATTACTTTTTGTCTTTAATATGTTGTGGAATTGTATACTCAACAGGAAAGACCTAAACAATCAAGTTTTGGAACAAGTTTCATTGAGAAATCCCAATACAGATGTCTGGATAACAAGACCGTGAATTTTTATCATATTTCTGGTAGTTGAGGGAAATAGAGCCCTAGTTTAATTTAGTACAGAGTATTGCCTTAAGATTTTCATAAGCTAAATACATGCTTATTAGAATACTTGGCGGAAGGAAGTTTTGAAATATATAGGGTCAATAGGAAATTTAATTCATGATTTCAGACTATGGGACTTTGGTACATATGTCTACAAAATTTCATTAAAAATTCCCTTAGTAATATAAAATTTCAATTTCCAAAAACTAAAATAGATATAATCGATAGTGGTTCATGTTTCAACTATATTCTAAAACCAGTTTTTGACTTAATGTTTCAGCCTCCTTTTCCTGTACAAAATCTGCTCTGTCACATTGCCATACAACTTCCTGTTATCCTATTTTCCCAGGCTGGCAGGATATTGTCCGCTATTGATGTCTGAAATGTGGAATACTTCTCACTAATCATTTCTTTGATCAAAACTTAACCTCATCAAAATGAACTACTTAGATGAGACTGTCAGGAAATACTGCATAGTTTCCTATTTTTTTAAATTATGATGTAAAAATGTCTGCTCCCACAAAATATAACAAAATTCAGACTTTCATATTTAAGACGCCATCCCAGCATTTGAATTCCCATCTTCTGTTATCAATAAGTAACTAAATTTATATTGTGTGTCTGCTGTATATCTAGCCATTCTTCTCAGGACTCAGTTTGTTCCCTGGAAAACTGGCCAAAAAATAGACCCAGTCACAGTGTAATTTTTTTCTTGCTACAATGGCTGAAATGCTACAAAACAGAGATTCATTTAAATTAAAGGAAAATAATTTTGTGAGGGCCATTTATACTCTAATGCTGATTATTGCAATTATAATTTTACATTTTTATAACTAGATGAACTGGAAACACTAAAAGGATTAAAAAATAAAGAGGGGAAATTAATTTTGGATTTTCAATATTAAGAAGGCAGTATGGTTGGGTTCTCAAATAGGATTTGAGCCTACAATTTATTCATTTATTGATTCATTCATTCATGTATTTAATCAAATATATTTCCTCAGTATTTAGTATGTGCCACCTTGTCTTCTAAAAGCTGGAAGTAGACAAGTTGCAGCCAGAAACAAAGTGGCAATATTTAACAACGGTGTTCCAGGGAAAGGAGATCATCATAAAATGAGAAGAATGGAAAGCTGAGCTAAAGGGAGGCTGTGTTAAATTTTGATTACTCAGATATTTGGCCTCAGGTCAACCCTGCTTTCCTTCATGATGACACTTTAGTCAGAGAAAACAAAAGCAAGTGTGTAGTTTAGAGCAAAAACAAACAAACAAACCCATATCTTTCAACCTTTCACCAACAACTAGTATTTCTGTATGTGAGTACTTCTATAGTTTCAATAAAACAATCTGATTGCAATAACAATTTATTTGGCAATATCTGTGACCTAAAACATACATTAATTTTTCTCTAGTATAGCTACAGGTTTATGATTCACCACATTATAAATGATATGGAAGGTTCAACTTACTCAAGTAAATAACAATATAAAATATCAATCACAGAAAATGATGAAAGTATCGATTTTAATTAAATGAATGTCTCGGTGAGTTTTCCTCACATTCTTCTCATATTTATTTACGCCTACTAAGGTTTCTTTTTTAACAATGTGAAACAATTTCACAGCATAAAACTTTAGATGACACCGTAGTATTTACATAGCAGTAACACAGAAAGAAAACTTTTTTAAGACAAACTTTCTAAAGATGTATTCTACTCACCTGGTTTTCCTTGTTCTATCATAGCTAATCATTTATTACAATACACAGAAAACAGAAGGTACCTTGACCTCTGAGAAATAAGAAGCAATAGCAAGAGTTCATGAGGTCATTGCAATACAACAGTTTGTTATGCATTAACTTAAACATATTATGCCCAGGAAAGAGTACAGAATGCACATTTGATTTCTAATATAAATATCTACATCTTGCTCATGAAGAGACTGATGAGAACCATTAACTACTATCTAAATATGTAACTTAAGAAAGAAATAATTCAATGGAAATATTACTTATTGGGTTATGATGTGTTATGAGTCAGATTGTACTTCTTTCAAATTCATATGTTGAAATCCTAACATGCAGTACTTCAGAATGTGACCTTATTTGGAGATAGGATCTTTACAGAGGTAATTAAGTTAAGATTAGGTCATTAGGATTGACACTAATCCAATATGACTAGTGTCCTTTTAAAAGGGGGGGATTTGGTGACAGATGCATACATAGGGAAACATAACTGAAGATTAAGGCAGAGATTGAGGTGAGGTCAAAGAATACCAAAGATTTCCAGAAAAACACCAGAAGCTAGAGGCATGGGACAGATCCTTCCTCACAGCCCTCAGAAAGAACCAATCCTGCTAACACTTTCATTTTGGATGTCTAGCCTGAAGAACTGTGAGACAATATATTTGTATTGTTTAAACCATCCAGCTTGTGAAACTTTGTTATGGAATCCCTGGCAAACTAATAAACTGGATCTCTGATCTAATACTAATGCAAAATATTGTCTATTGCTTTGTTTATTGTTCACCAAATTGCTTCTGTATGTTTGGTTTTGTAACTCTCTGTAACTATTAATATTAGTAGTAACAATAATAGTAACAGCTGGTTTTTTGGGAGCTTGTCATATCCCAAGCTCTGCTTTGATCATTTCTGACAATGAGGTGAATAGGAAATGAAGGAAAGATCTCTCATGTAGGAAAGTAATTTTATTACTTTATTAAGCATTAATGATTAATATCTAGTATGTTTTATTGAGCCACTAAGGGTTTTGGCATGGGTTTAAAGGCATTTATATCACTTACTCTAACACAGAAATAGTTACCTTGAAGTGGAGTACTGCTGTAACAAAATCTGAAAATATAAATCCTTAGGGTAGATGGCATGTGGTATTAAAGCTGGTAATGTGGCAAAATCTTTGCTAAAAAGTATTGCCTACTCTAACTTAGAAGACTACATGTCTACTAATCGTTTCTACTTAGATCTTGGAATGCTTCACAGCCCTAAAATAGCTACATTTCACAAAGTATTACAAAGAATAAATGAGTTCTAGCTTGCAAGCAGGAAAAATAGTTCATAAATTCAAGGTTTTTCAGAGTTGGGAAACCGAACTGCTTTTAACAGTTGAACTAAAAAGACTTCGCCAATGCACAGTAAGAACTTTCCAGTTGAATAAAGTGACTCAAGGCAAGATCAGAGTAGGGGTGTGGCTTGACCCCAATTGTTCAAACAACCCAATGGTAGCCAACATTAAGTTGAGTGGGGAAAAAGGCATGAAGGTGAGATAGTAGCTATGTAAAATGAATTTGAATATTATTTTTAGGAAGTAATTTTAGGTATAATTATAGCTACATGAAATTGACTGAATCAAGTAGGTCAGACATCTACAAAGTTTTTGACAGAACTGTATTGTCAAAGAAATGACAAGTGCATTCTTGAAAAAGTCTTTATTTTTAGAATTCAAATCTTAACATCAATTTTCGTATTTCCACATATAGAAAGGAGCTTCACAATGCCTCGGACATGAAGGTATGCTCTCCAAACCATTTTCAGATATGGCTAAGGAGAATAATGAAAAGAAAGAGGTTCCAAGAAGTCATATCCTGGGGCCACAGAGAAGAAAATGACAAAGCATTTCCTCCCCGAGAGTAGAATCCCTACCTCCACCTCTGGCGAGAGACTATCACAAACAATGTCTGTGCAGTAGTATCTCAGAATCACTAATGAACATTGACTACCACGTATCTCTTATTCTTCCTCTTTCTAATTAATAATGTTCATTGTAGACATCTGGTATTTGGGTGTGAGGTAGGGATGCAGATAATTTGTCTTTTTGATTCATAGGTCACCTGACCATGAGGAACCTCATGGATAGGACAGATCTCCATTAGATGGATGCAGTGAATGGAAAAGCACTGGATTATTTTCTTTAGGAAGTGAACAGATGTGAATTTGTTTGATATATAAGAGGAAGAATGAGAGAGATATTTTGTTGAACACTTTGGATGGTAGCTAAGACAGTATATGTTCAACACACAGTTTTCTCTTCCTGAGCATGTAAGACAATGATGTTACTATTCCTTTAAATTATATTGGGGGTCATTGACTTTGTTCAGGTCACTAGAATATAAACAGAAATAATGTAAAATACTTTTATACCCAGCTCTTAAAACAATATACATAATTCTCTATTACTGTCTTCCCCTTCAGTGTTAACTTTGTACATTTTTTCAAATGTACTCAAAGATAGAAGCTTCTTTGGTCCCTGAGTCACCACTTGGAGGGGAGCTGCTCAGAAGAGCTGCCTGACCTGCACTGGACAGTGACCTGAATGAAAAATAAACAGAGATTCCAAGATCTGTTTGTTACTGCATATAGCTACGTCTACCCTGCCTGAAACAGATATCCTAAGGACATCATAGACTATGCCAGGTCAGTCACTTTCAACAGTTTGCAGTCATAGTGAAAGTCTAGGGCAAATTAACCCAAAATACATGTAGGCTTTGCAACCTAATTTCACAATCCAACAAAAGTACCAATCAAATCCCAAATTTCCCTGGGTAATAACTGTTTTATTGTGCAGTTTCTCTGCTATCAGTGATAACTTTTCCTCAAGGATTAGACAGAAAGAATGCTATAATTTCATAGGAATCACTAGGAGATTATTAAAGATATTTTTTAGAGTAGCCATAAGTGTGTCTGAGCATCAATTGTTCCAGTTTCCGTTAATTCTTTTCCACATTCCTGTAAATAAAGACCAGCCTCACTGGTTGTCCTTATTTCTTCCCAGTTTCTTCTCTATAGTTTTTGGAATAGCCAGAGAAGGCCATGTGAATAATGCAACAATCAGAGTGAATGACACAGGAACAAAATTAATTCTACAATGACTGAGGAACTACCTGTGCAGGTGAGTCAACCTAACATCATCAACAACACAAATAGTGTTAGAATTGTAACTAAGTTATGAGACTGAGCTTGATTGCTCATGACCATGAAAAGTTTCTTCTATTGTTAATTAAACATCACAATTTCAATATCACCTTGATCAGTCCATTTGAAATTATAACCTCTGCATTCTACTGACCCCTCTATTTTGATCTATTTTTAAAACATTTAGATAGTTCTTATCTTGTAACATTTGTCACTAATTTATCCACTTCAGACATTTTTCCATCCATTTACTTTCAATTTTTCTATATCTTTATATTTAAAGTATATTTCTCATAGACAATATATAGTTAGAGCATACTTTTTCTCCATTCTGGCAATTTCTGCTTTTAGCTGGAAAGTTTATGCATTAAAATTTAATGCAACTGTTGATGTGGTTGGATTGGGGTTTACAGTTTTATTATTTATTTTCTTCCCACCTCTTCTGTTTTTGTTCTCCTGTTACTTATTTCTGAGTTATTTTGGATTATTAGAATATCTTTAAAATTTTATTTTAATTTATGTATTTACTTTTTTGTTATGCCTCTTTGTATATTTTTACATGTTTACTCTAGGGATTAAAATATACATTCTTATCCATTCACAGACTCCTTTGAATTCATATTCACATAGGAATACATACTGGAACTATGTAGGTCTATTAACCACCCAAATCCTTTATGTTGTAGTTATCACACATATTATGTCAACATACATTATAACCCTCACAAAATAATGCTATTTTTGCTTTAATCTGTCTTATATATTTTAAAGAAAATAGATGGAAAATAAGTCTTTTGTATTTACCCAGATAGGTTTTTATGTTCTTCATTCTCTCCTAAAAATATAAGCTTTTATCTGGTATCATTTCCCTTCATACAAATTATTTTAACTTCTTTTATAATATAAATGTGCTAGTGATCAATTTTTATAGTTTTGTTCTATTTGAAAATATTTATATTTCTTTTCATTCTGGGAAAAAGTTTGTCTCCTGAGCATAGAATTCTAGATTCATCATTTTTTTTGTATTTGAAATTTTTAAGATACTGTCCACTGCCTTCTGATCTTCATATTTTCTGATGACAACTCAGAACTCATTTAAATTGTTGTTCTATGTCATTTTTCTCTTGCTCCTTTCAAGATTTTCTCTTTATTGTTGGTTTTCATAATGGTTTTGTGCATTTTGATACTGTTTTGGTTTCACCAAGCCTTCTGAATCTATAACTGTATGGCTTTCACAAAATTTGGGAGACTTTGGCTATTATTCATTCAAATATTTCATCTCGTTTATTATTTTTTCCCTACACTTTTGGACTCCAATTTTACATGTATTTCAAATTTTTATATTGTCCCACAGGTGCTCTGTTGATTTTTTAAATTTTTCTCTGTTTCTTAGATTAGGTGACTTCTGTTGATTTATCTTTAAGTTCAAAGACTCACTCTTCTATTTGCTCCATTATGTAGTTACAACTATCCAGTTCATATTTTTTCAGGTATTGGATATTTCATCTAGAATTCTTATTCAATTTTTTTCATCAATTAAAATGTTTTTCTCTGTTGAAATTTCTTGTTTTTTTCATTACAAGCATACTTTCCTTTACCTTATTAAGCATAGGTATAGTATTTACTTTAATGTTTTGGTCTGCTAATTAAAACATCTGGGGCATTTCATTAACTATATTTTATTTTGAGAAAATGGGTTCTTTATATGTTGAGTGATTTTAAACCATAGTGTGGATGCTGACTATGAATGATCTTTTGTGGAAGCCCTTGGTTCTGTTATATTCCTATATTCCTCTGAACAATGTTATATTTCTATATTAGTAGTTTTTTTTCCCTAATAAAACTGCAAAACAGACTTTATCAGCAATTCAAATCTTGATTCAGTTACTTTTTTTCCCTCTGGTTAACTGCTTGTAATCTGCCCTGACTTTATATGATTCAGAGATCAGAGATTTAGTAGAGTAGTTCACAAACTCGAGTCTTCTCTTTATGGTTCTTTCCCTTCCAGTATTCTATCCTTCACTTTCCAGAAACTGCAGGTCCCCCAAACTGTCTTCTGATTCATTAAGATAGAATAACTAAAATTTCTGTCAGTGTTTTACCTGGCTCTTGAGGGGTCATTGGCAGCCTGTCTCTGCGCTCGAGCTAAAGGATATAAAAACAGGAAACTCATTCTGTGTCCACCCATTTTTAATGTTTTACATCTTCTTCAGAATCTACCTTCTTTCCTTCTCTCTTTAAAGCCTTTAAGTAGTTCAGTTAAATTGTTGTCTAGAGTTTATAGTTGTTATCTTTGGGAAGGCCAGTTGGTTAGAAAGTTAGTCAGCCCTGAACTCCTATCACTTTATTATTATATTGTTTGTGTTCTCAGGACAAGGATCATTCTTTTTCACAGATATTTTCAAATAACTAAGAGGAAGCATTCACAACGTAACTGATATTCAATATATGTTTGTGAAATGAATGAATTCAGGAGAGGTAACTAAGAATGGGTGTAACTAAAGATAAGACAGATATTTATGGAGACAATATAGTTTCATTGAAAGACACAAAGTAGTTATGTCCAAATGGAAAAACTCAATCTGAAAAATATGTTGATTATTCCTAAATTAATCTACAAGTGCAATGAAATTACATTTAAATCACAACTTGGTATTTTTTTCATGGACCTTGATAAGCTGAGTCTACAAATTTGTATGGAAGAACAAAAGATCCAGAAAAGCTGGGATAATTTTGAAAAAGACAAAGAGTACTTCTTTGACTGATTAAGTGATTTATAACAAAGCCATATAATAAATTTTATATATTTTTTTGCACAAAGATTTTTAAAACTACCAATGGGGTATGAGATAAAGACAAGAAATAGAATGATACACATATGAATATTGCATATATGTTGGGTGATATGTAAAATCAGTGAATTATTTAATAAGTGATGCTAGATAAATAAGTTATCTGAATATAAAAATAATATTTTCTCACTTGTCTCACAGAGATGTATAAATTCCAGAAAGATTAAAAAGCTAGTTATAAAAATGAAAAATACAAACAAAATAAAACAGAAGTTAATATTTATAGATCATCAAATTTTTCTTAGATACTGAAAGTACCAATCTCAAAGGAAAAAAGTGATAACTTGTGCCTTTTAAAAAATACAAAGTGCTGAATTTTAAAAGAAAGCCCAAAAACATTTTCAGTATATAAAATTCAAAAGAGAATTTTATCCTGACAATTTAATAAGCTACTAGAAATCAATAAGGAAAAGATAAAGAACCTAGTATAATAGGGAAAAGTGTAAGAAAGGCAATTACTAGATTTCAAAAATTGATGAAAAAATAAATAATAAACATTGGAAAAGATGCACAACTTCACCAGGAATCAGGAAGATAAAAATTTTAAAGGTGTGATATCCATTCACACTCATCAGATTGTCAAAAGTTGGATTCTAAGAGTCAAGCATTGTCAAACATGTAAAGAAATGGACACACACTATTAGTGGAAGTGTAAATTAGTCACTTATTGGGTAGTAATTTTCAATACCTAGTAACATTGAAGATGTGCCTATTTTAAATCCCAGCACTCCTACTAGGATACTGTCATAGAAAAACCCTAACAATTATGCACAAAAAGACAAATACAAAAGTGTCCATAAATATTTGCTATAGTATAGACTTATAGTAACAACAAGCTCATGAAATGAAACTGTAAGTAAAATGAAAAATATTTAGACAAAGAAATATTATAAAGCAGTTCAAATGAAGAAATAGAGATACATGTTTCCAAATGGAAAATATGAAACACAATATTGGAAAGACAGCATGATAATATTTATATATGCACTTAAAGGTGAAAAGGTAATATTATATATATGACTCTATACCATGTCATGTATAGACAGAAACTTGCACGGGAATGATACACACTAAATCCAAATGAGTAGGCAACTATGGGCAGTAAGGCAAACAATAACAAGAAGTAGTATACACACACACACACACACACACACACACAAAGCAGATTCAGTTGAATATTCTGTTTCTTAAATGGATCGCATGTACACAGATGTTTTTATTATAATCCATACATTATTAAATCCATAGAGGCTGAATTATTTCATATAAAATGGGGATAATAATACATAATACATTGAGAATTGTAACATGTAATTTGAGAATTAAGTGAGGTAATGTGTATAAGTAACTTTGGTAAAATGATAAAAATTTGGTGAAGTGGGGTAGATTTTCTACACAATAACAAAAATCAGAAGTTGCAATGAAAAAACTACATCATGAAAATATCTAGTGATAAAGGGAAACACTAAAAATGTAACAAATGTGACCCATATTAAAATTCACTCTTACCAGTATAGACAAACACCAGGTCAAGTAAATGGAAAGGTAAATTGGGCCCCTATATAAAAAGATTTAAATTTGTAGAGATGCTACTCCTGTAAAAATCAATTTATATGTTATCATATCATAAAATTTAAGGGTAAATTATTAACATGGAAGTGTATTTTCAAACAATTTTGGGAGAGTAATATCTGAATGATAAGAACACTTCTTAGTTAATAAGAAAATAATAAGACTCCAGAATTTAAAAATAAGAAAAGGAAATGAGAAGGTAATTTACAAATAATGAAATAAAAATAGTCAATAAGCACACAGAAAATGCTCGATCACACTAGTACTCTGAACTACAATATTAAAAAAGCAATGTTTCACTTAATCAAATTTAGCGAAGATTAATAATCTACTACCATTGACTTGGGGAAAGTTATAGTGGTGGTAAGAGAAGGTTAGGAGATTCCTCTACAGATAAACAATTAAAAAACATGGGCAAAAAATACTAAAAAACACCCACATGAATGCAACAGAAAACATCTAATGCAGGCGGAAACTTGAGATAGATTCTAGAAAGAGTGCCACGGCAATGGGCAAGAACTCCAACTTTGTGACTTTCTGGTCTGGAGAAGCCCCACAATTTCCGCTGGTCTGATATAGTGAGAAACCAAAACCTTCATGGCTTGAAGTTTGCAGGATAAAGTTTAGAACTGTAGAAGCTCTGGAAATTACATGCTCCAAAATCTGAATATATCTCTGAACAAACCCCTGGCTCACTGCTAAATTAATGTTTCAAGTTTGATAAATAAACAGTAGTAAATAATAATGATTATATGTACACTATGTATAATATGTACATATAATATGCAATATATATAATATATAATAATATAAAATAATTAAAATATCTTTGAAGAACACTTAATCTAAAATAATGGCATGTGGAAATTCTAAGATTCAAACTGTATGTACAGTGTGTACTCACTTTTGCAAGAAAAAAAAAGTAAAGAATGCAGAGAAGGAAGAAAAGGATTTATATGTATATCTTAGATGTTAGCTGTGGTCTTTGCCTTTTGTTCCAGGAGGCACAGATGTTCTTAAGTGAATTCACTTCCAAAGCCTCACTTCACTGAATGTGTATTCTCTCGTAACACAGGTCTGTATGAAAATGCGCTGAGATATATTTCGGAGTTTTTGCCTAACATCGCCTTCACTGTTAAAGATCACAATTTTTATTTTTAGTGGATGATGGTAGGTATCAAACTGCTATTATATTTAGATTCTAATAGATGCAATAATTGAATGAGATAGTACTTTTATTATACAATGTCAGTACTTGCTTTTTTTCAGAAATTACATTTTAAAACTGCACATGATGAAAAATGTGTGATGTGAGCCTAAAAATGTTCTCAAGATCTTTTAAAATTTATTGGAATGTATATGAGCCAAAAATTTGAAGACCATTGCCTAAAGAATACTGTTAAACAAAAGCTTTGGTGAATAATGTGGATTTTATTGAAGATCTTACAGAGGAGATAGCTCAGCAAACAATTTTGAAATGCTTTACCAGACATTTCTGTTCTTGCAGCACTTTTAGAGCACACTGCCACTGGAGTATGCCCTGTTCTCACATACTTACAGCCTTACAGGCTCCATTCTCTGCCCTTATGCACTGACTTAGTTTCTATCTCTAGACCTTTGTATCTAATTACATCTGTTCCCCATGCTCAGAGCACCCATCCTTCTTAGAGGTCAGCTCAGCAACCATCTTTGCCTGCCTTTTGGGCTATTACTTTGTGAAAGTTATACGTTCCTTTGTAAATACAAACATATGAATGAAAGAAATTCCCCCTAATTTTAACATATATGGAGAATTTTAATTTTTTTCTTTGTTTTCTGTATGTCTTTTAATTTCCAAAAATACTTTGATACTTTATATTTTTTAAAGGTGTGAAATATTAAGACAAACCATACTAAAAGAAATGAAATTGTAAAGTCAAAAAAGTTGACTTATAAACCCAAGCAAAGAGAGGGATTATTTTTAAAGTGGTAGTAGGAACATTTGGAAAAGTTTTTGATTCTCACTTCCTACCATATTTGAAAACATATTAAAAGTGAAGAATTCAATGTAATAGATAAAACAGTATTTTAAAGAAATTGGAGGAAAATACAGGGTAACATCTAACTACTTTTAAATATGGGGAGACATTCTGAATATAAAAACTTGAAGAAATCACAAGGAAACACACTTCACAAACACTGAAAGTTTCAGCAGATCAAATGACTCTAAACAATGTGAAATCTTGCTATTAATGTAACTCAAATCCCCAGATCCTTTAGTTAGATGCAATCTAAATAGTATTCATAAAGTTGCTGTCTGTAATATAAGTGTATTATTAAATAATTGAATACATTACTTAAATGTCTGGAAGTTGAAAAAAAATCTAATGTATTATTTGAAAACCTAACATACAGTTTAAAAACATATTTATTTCCTGTTTCCTGACTTTGTAGTATGTCCTTTGCAATTCAGAGGTAAGAAAACTAGTTCTTAGGGTTGCCTGTTTTCATACTGTGGTGCAACCCTCCAGGTAGGGCCCTTCTAATCTAGGTCAGTGCTTTTAACTCAGTACTTTCTTTAGTAAGACCTTTTTTCAGCAGAGCACACAGTTGTCTTCCTAGTACTGTTCAAGTGCCAAGGGGACACCAGTGCAGGAACTTGAGCAAAGGGGAGCCTGAGGATTAAAGGCTCTGTGTCCTATGTTCCATTTATATGTGGAATCTAAAATAGTCAAGTCATAGAAGCAGAAAACCAGCATACGAAAACAACTTAAATGTCCATTAACGGATGAATGGATATAGAAAGTGTGAGATAGATAGATGATAGATAGATGATAGATAGATAGATAGATAGATAGATAGATAGATAGATAGATAGATAGATGATAGATAATGGAATATTGTGTATATTATAACATTTATATATATATAATATTCTATTATTCAACCTTAAAAAAAGGAAATCCTGCCATTTGGGCAACATGGATGGATCTGGACAAGATTACACAAAGTAAAATAAGCAAGGCACAAGAAGACAAACTGTACGATTTTATTTATATGTGGAATCTAAAATAGACAAACTCATAAAAGCAAAAAGTGGAATAGTAATTGTCATGGGCTAAGGACAGAGGGAAATGAGGAGGTGATGGTCAAAGGGTAAAAAGTTTCAGTTATGCAAAATAAATAAATTCTGGATTTCTGTTATATAGTATAGTGCATATAGCTAATAGTATACTACTATATGCTTAATTTTTCCTAAGAGTAAATCTTATTTAAGTGATCTTAACACACATAAATACAGTAATAATAATAATAATAATGAGGGCAAGAAGAATCTAGGTCTTGATGGTGGTGATGGTCTCACAAGCATTATATTTATCCAAAACTCATTGAGTTGTATACACTAAATATGTACAACTTAACTTGTTAATCATACTTCAATCAAGTAGTTTTAAAAATTGCAAATCTTCCATTATAAGTGGGTATGGCAAACTCCACTCTATTTAGTCTACTTCAGATATCTATTTATTCCTTCTACAAATATTTATTGCATGCCTACTAATGCTGTGGGTAAATACATTTAAAATGGACATCTGTTGTTTTGCTGATTCTTCATCCATTCCTCCTTTTATTGACCCTAGCATTCTACCATGAGCAGACCTGAGGATAATTGTCTCTTGTGGCCTGAGATGAACCCTAAACAATTCAGTACTACTTTACCCTGAGAATTTGAATCTTAAGCAGAGTGATACAAGGATAGAAAATGGCACTGGTTCTTCTGGATGGCATGCTCTTACTACTGCTCATTCATTCCTGCTTTCTAGCTCACTGTAGCTACCATATTACCACCCTTTCTTCCACTTTCTTTAATGGTTCCTCAGTTTTTCATTAGATGTTATGGGCTAATCCACGTCCTTTTGATAATTTTCTCTTTTGATTAAGTTGCACTGAGTGTGTTTGTTGCTTGCATACAAGTTGATAGTTGACAGGGAAATAAATCTGTATCCTCCGTCCATAGAAATTAAAGTTTAGTAGGAGAGGCTACCATATCAATAAAAAATGTTAACTGGTTATAGAAAATACCCCTATCCCGTGCAGAGCTAACTGTATGACAAGGGAAGTATGAGGAGCTGAAGAGGCACCTAAGGAGGAGGCCACCTTGATCTGTGGGGTCAGGTAGATTTCCTCAAAACATTAATACTTTATGTGACATGAAAGATCAGTGAAAGTTTCTAGACCAAGGGAAGGTATCTCAGACAGAGAGATTAGCGTATCCAGTGGTCTGAAGGTGATGCCATGATGTCGTGATAAAGTCAGGGAAATGGAAGAAGGTCACTGGCTGTGACTGGACCACATACCCTGGGAGAGTGGCGAGACACTGGGTTGGAAAGATTAAATCATGCCTGGCATTATAAGTGGTGTTAAGGAATTTGGATATTGTCCTAAAAATCATGTGAAACCACCTAAGGATTTCAAATAGGGAAGAGACAAAAATAATTTTGGATTTCGGAAAAATTGTTCCTGCAATGTTGATTTATCAGAATGTTTTAAGCCTAGAGTCAGTAAAATCAGTTTAGAGACTGTTTGGGTAACCCAGTCCAAATCTGACTGTGGACTGATCTCAAGTGGAGGCAGCAGGGATGGAGGACAGCTATTCACAGAGAGAACTTCTAGGAATGGAAATTCTGGGAAGATGCCCACCTGAATGGTGCTCCCTTCCTCTCTGTAAACAAACCCATTTTCTTGTTTATTTGTTTATAAACTCTTCTACCTTAAATGGCGGGAGCCTGTATGAGACACAGGGTCCAAAGATATCTTGAGACCCAAGGTAGTCCAAACATAGGAAAATGAGTGACTTTTTTCCTTTTCAAGATGTTTGTCTGTGGTGGGCAGACTATAGGGTGGCTCTCATGATCCCTGTGCAAGGTGTTCATGTCCTTGTGTGACTTGCTTCCCCTGAGTGTGGACTGCACCTGTGACTTACCTGTAGCCACAGAATATAGCAGATGAGCAAGATGTCCCTGACTATGTGTTCATGATGATGACATGTAAGGTTGGAATGCCTGTCTCAGGAGAAGACTCCCTTCCTCACTGATTTTGATGAAGCATCCTGCCATGTTGGGAGCTGCCAAATAGAGAAGGTCCTTTAGCAAGAAGCTGAGGCAGACTACAGGCCAAAAGCCAGCAAGAAACTGAAACCCTTCGTCTCATAATGTGCAAGGAATTGAATACGGCCAACAAACAAATGGGCTTGGAAGCAGATCCATTCCCAGTTGAGCCCAAATAAGAACCCAGCCCTGATGGAAACTTTGATTGTAGTCTTACAAAGTCTTACAAAGAACACACTTGGGCACGGATTCCCACCCAACAGAAACTGTGGGATAATAAATGTATGTTGTTTTAAACTGCTAAGTTTGTGGTAATATTGCAGCAATAGATGATTAATACAATGGCCAAGTATTGTAATGTCTTCTAGAATGAGCATAGCTTATAACAATTTCTGGCCCTTGAGGAAAACTAGACACTGGCTGCATGCCTGGTCTCCTTGACCTCCAAAGGCCAAAAATAAAAACAAGGTTGCTGAGGCCCAATCAACAACCCTAGGAAACGAGTAGAGAGAACATGACAACTTCTATGTCTTGTGAGGTGGCTGACACTGAGGCTATTCTAACAAGCAGATGTGAGTCCAGTGAGCCGAATAAAGAAGGATAACAACCTGTCCAAGGATGCCCAGCAGCCAGGGCAAAAATTATCAGTCAGAATACCCAGTCCCCATAGAATGAAATTGTTTTTAGAAAGAAATGGATGCCCATCAGAACAGAAAAATATTAACAAGACTTAGGTAAAGTCAAGTCTGACTTAGAAAAATATATATTTTTTGTTAATTATCAATTCCTCAATGTAACCTATTTCAGATAAACTGTACAAAAGAAAGATAACTGTTGATAGTCAAATTAATGACCTGGCACCTCAAAAAGAAGATTAGCATAAAAGAACAAAGTGAAAATGGGCTTACTTACTGTGTTCTAGGCATATGATATGAAAAAACACACATATATATTGAAATAAATTTGAAATCCAAGAAAAGAAAAAAAATCTTGCAAATAGCAAGCAATCCATAAATGAAAAACATCTGATTTCTCATCTGCAACATTTGAAACTAGACTTTAGTGGAATAGCATCTTTTAGTACTGAGAGAGATGACTGAACCCAGACATTATTTACCTGTGGGAATAAAAAAGATACCTGTAACAATTCAGAGTCCCAGATATTGTTAGTAGGCTTTCTGGGGAAAATTCTGATGAAGGGACACTCACCAAAGCAAACAAGCAAAACACCAAAACCAAAACTTCATAACCAAAGATGGAAAGAAACAGCAATGGTCAATAAATTAGCTATAAATACATAGTTAATCTGGTCTGGAATGGTTTACATGGATTAGTAGTTCCACACTAAAAAGGAATTTTTGTAATTACCTAGAGAAGAAAACATTGCATTCTCTGAAATAAAATATTGATGTGGGGGTGAAGGTAGAGAGAAGGAAGAAGCCAAAATATTCTGAAGTTCTTATTTTGGACAAGAATGTGGGTGGAAGAGGAAAAGGAGGAAGGAAGTGAATGGTATCACTTGAGAGCTCTGTTGAACTGTGGGCACTTCCTGTATACTACTGTTAAATTACTAGGCATTCAGGTGTTTTTCAGGAGGTTACTGAAGAATCCCTTCCTGTCAAATGTTGCACAGATCACAACACTATAAACTATTGAACTATTTACTTAGCCATTCTCTCCACTTCTGCATAGCACCTTGGCATCTTAAAAATGAAGAGCTGTTTCATGCAGTAAAGCATTAATGAGTGGTAAGGACTACTTATATTCAGTGGGGTTTTCCATGACTCGTTTCTTTAAGCAATTACCACAATCGCTATTGTCAAAAGCCTTCACACTCCTAACGGTTCCTTTCCAATTGTAGGAAAGCTGGAACAACAGGAGCCTAAGGAAAGTACCTGTAATTACCCTTCAGTGCTACAGGGTATCTCTCTAGGTAGCACCTCCTCTCACCGTCCTTAGTCAGCCTGGTGTGTGTTTCTCTCTGCCGTAACTACCTACACATGCTCAGTCTCTGCAGTAACTTAGTACCAGACTTGCCTCCTCCCCCTACATACCCTCGAGACTGTAGCCCTGGCTCAGTGCTTCAGGCTCCCTCTTGCCCTGAAAACAAGTTCAGAACAACTTATAAATATCACCAAATAGCATCATTGTGTTTTCCCAGAGGGTTTGCTTTATTTGAATGGAACCTTCCTTAGAACCATGAAAACAGCACGTTTCCCATTAGAGAAGTCTGGGGGAGCAAGAAGCCCACCCACTCACCCTTTTAAGCATCTGAAGACATTCAGGAGAATGTTTTCCAAACATAAATCCTGTATGTACACCTTCACTTCTGGTTTATTTAACAATATTCTTTAAATAGGGTTATTTTTATTCTTAAAGAAATTTAGTTAAAAATAAAACTGTAGGTGTGAGAGTAGGAAGGACCAAAGCTCCAGTTGAAAGAACTGCCCTTTCATCTTGGAGCTGAAGGAGGGAGATGCAAGGTGTCAATGCAGAACCTAGAGAAGTGGTCTGGAGCTGGTGTTCAGGCTCCACTGTGGAGCACAAGAGAAGAAGACAGTGTAAGAGCGAGAAGAGGGAAAGAAGCAGCTGGTCCTGAGTCACCCAATCAATACCTGGAGGAGACAAGTTGGGAAGGAAAAATTGCATAAAGTATATGAAAAAGAAGAGGAGAAATCAGAGGATAACAAAGCTGAGATCAATAGAAAGATATCGAAGCCACAGTGCCTGTGCTTTCACAGACACTGTCTGTCACAGACCCTGAGGAAGGGACTCTGAAGATGGCAAGAAGTAGGAAACTGTGTGCACCTCCGTGGGAGAAAGGGTGGGTTGAGGAAATGGAGCACTGTGGACCAAGAGTGAGGCTGAGTAGTTTGGGAAATAGAAAAATAGCACGTGATGAGTGAAGTTGAAGTATCATCTTGGCACTAACTAAACTATTCTCAGGCAGCACCAGTAGCATACCTTATAGGACACCTTGGCAAACCCCGATATGGAAAAAAACCCCTGGGTCAGTGTGTACTTTCATAAGCATTCAGCTCTGTGCCTTAGGAGGACTGATGGGAGAGAGGGTTAACTATGATCTCCATACTCATGTCCTCCTGAATTTTATCAGTTGGTTTACAACGAAGCACAAACATGAGAAGGAAGAAGGCTTAGGAGGAGAAACCAGCATTACATTAGACTGTGTGGCCTTCCAGGCAGGCAGTTATATAACACCACTGAGAGGAAATAATGCTGTTCAGTCATATGCTATTACTAATTGTATTGCATATTCAGGAATTGTAATGCCATAGCCACAGCCAGGTAAGGCGGCAGGATATAAAGTGCTCATCTGTGCTTAAGAACTTGAGAACTGTCTGATCATTAACATATCTTGGAATTATAAATATGATTCCAGAAAGCTCATTACTACAGGTTCTTCAGTGGAAGTGGTTAGTGATTAAGCAGCTTCCTCTCAGCTCCAACCCATCTTCCCTAGTTGACTTGGTGACACTGCAGATTACATTTCTCCTTTGCCATCTGGCTCCCTGTTAAGTTTGGCCAATTCAGGGGCACTGGGAGGAAGCCAAACTCCAGGAGAGTGAAGAAAGAACTTGCTCCTTCCTGTTTGTGTTCCTGTCAGTGTCATTCCACCAATGGCTTGTCTCTTTCTAGAAACACTTTTCTCTTGTGTTTAGATTCTTCTGCCATCCTCAGAATCAACTTCATTGACCCAAGGTGTGAGTCTAGGCTAAGTAGAGCCCATCCCCAGAGGTCTGAGTGTCGGCTCGGGCTGAGTCCCTGGGGCCCTGCTTTGGCTTCTAGGTTCTGAGAATCCCAACCACTCCGTCTGTGGAACGGGAAACTGTGGGGTTCGCAGCTTCCTCCTGTGGTTACTATCGCCGTGTTGCTTCATGTTCCCATTTTGCCTTGCCAGTCCTCTAATACCTAACCAATATTTAACCTCTGCTAACTTAAACTCTAATTGATTAACCAGTTTCTTATGTTAAATTGTATCTGACTTTAAAAAAACTACTGTGGCTTCCATTTTTGTGTCTGAATTCCGACTCAGATAAGGTCTTCAGCAGTGAATTATATAGAAAGCTTCTTAAAATTCTCTTTAAAGTCTACCTCCTTCCAAATTATTCTTTTCCTTGCATTGTTAAATATCAGTCTACTCACTGCCAGCCAGCTGCTCTGGCTCATGTTCCACTTCTGAGAGCGGTCATCCACTCCCGATCCACCACACTTGCATACGCATTTCATAAACATAGCTATATGACTCTCACTTGTGAAAACCACATATGAGGCATTGTTTATCTCTCCCTCTGTTAGTTCCCACTTTCTCAAAAATCAGCCTTCCATGGAATTTTGATAGAAAAGAAAAATTGTCACCTTGTTAAATCTTTTGCTTAGTTAAATCTTTGTGGTCTTCTGCAATGTACTTGTATCTCCAGAGGTCACCCTGTTTGTGCTCTTATATTTCCTTCTCTTTGGACAAACAGGATTCCTCCGGAAGTGCTGTTGCACTTAATCTGGTCCATTAGCACTTGTCTTACAAGTGTATGAGAAAACCCACTAGCCTTAGAATTTAAT